TGCTAAAATTTGAACTAGGTATCCTTTCTGAAGAATGGCATCTGTGATATTTGGTTAAAAGTTAGACATTTTACCCTCTTCCTGGTCCATAGGTTTTTAACTAACTTTAGGTAAAGACTAAAGAAAAATGATGAAGATTTAATCTTTTGGCTTCGTAGATGGCAGTAGATATCCTGTATATGTCGATTTTGATAAAATTAACTGGGAACTTATTGTGCATGTTCACCTGATTAGCATTTAGTTAATTCTATTTTGGCACTGTGATCTAATGATTTTGCAATTATAAATTGTCCACATACTAATTGCTATGATTTTTCTCAGTCTTGATGTGGTAGTTTCTATTCGACTTTTTCTTTCCTTATGAGTTTTTTAATAAGTTAAAATTGTTGCCTTTTGGAACTATAATTCCATTCCATTCCTTGTGCAGGCTCGGCTTGCTTTTTGCAAGTTCATGGTCAAACCATCAACTCTGCTTGTTCTGGATGAGCCAACCAATCATTTGGACATACCCACAAAAGAGATGCTCGAGGTTTAGTTTCTAATGGTTTTTTTTCCCTCTTTCCCTCTTCTTGACTCGTATCTTGTAATGCTTCATAAATAATTCTCTTCATTTATTTTTTATTTGTGTTTCTTTAGGAGGCGATAAATGAGTATCAAGGGACTGTCATCGCGGTTTCTCATGACAGATACTTTATAAAGCAATTTGTTAATCGGGTTTTGGAAGTAAAAGATGGGATTCTTCAGGACTATTCAGGAGACTACAATGTAAGTCCGTGTTCTTTAGGCTGCATTAGGAGTCTTGGATGTGGGATATTTCATGTTCGTTTTATTTCAAGATTATATTTTTTGTTTTAATAACAATTTTGGATGGTACACTATTCTTCTCCCCTTTTTCATCACCCCAATCACATATATGATGGAAAGAAAACAGACAATTACTGCCATTTTCCTACTAATTCCACTATTCACACCCATATGTATCCAATTGCCAATAATTTTGTTCAGTGCCGACCACACTCCTAATGTTAGTCAATTTGTCCATTCATTTATCTATTTTATTATTATTATTTTATTTATTTTAAATATTCTCTGAAGATGACATGCAAAGAAATGACATCTTATGCAGTCAGCTCTTAGCTCATAATTACTGTACAACTTGTAATTGTGGGAGTAGAAAACTCAGTAATTTTTCGAAATCCGATTTGCCTCCATTGTGAATTATATGTCATCTTAAATGTATTATCGATTTTGTTTTCTTACTACATACGACAGTATTATTTGGAGAAGAATCTTGAAGCCAGAGATAGGGAGCTCGAACGGGAGGCAGAGCTTGAAGAGAAGTCTCCAAAAGTAAAAGCTAAATCCAAGATGTCCAAGGTAATTTTTTTTTTTTACTATTTATCAATCTATTTATTTATTCATGTGGCAACCCTCAGTGGTATATATATATATATATAGATATATATTTTGGGCAACTCTGCTTTAGTATATCAATAATCTGAATCTGCTCATGTGGTATATTCAGATTAACTAAGTACTTTAATCGTTGATTGTTTTAACCAGGCGGAAAGAGAAGTTATGAAGAAACAGAAAAGGCAGGCATTTCAAGCTGCTAACCAGAAATCAAAAGCATCGAAGAACGCTAAGAGATGGAAGTAGAAGGCTCTTCACACCCCTCATCTTTGTGGGGGGCTATTACTAATTTTACCAAGCAAAAAAAAATAAGAAAAAAAAAAGAACGTAAGAAAATGAAAACAAAGGTGATGTGTTTATGTTTGTGTTCATATGTTATGTAGATATAGACATACAATAAGATAGAATAGGTGACTAATGAACTTATCTGGTGATAAGCTCAATGTCAATATGAAGGTAGAGATTCATTGTTGTTATGTTTGGCCCAATTCAGATGGCATTTTCACACTTTGATGTAATGTATGAGATGATTTTACCCTAAATTGGCCATGGGGAATAATACATAAGGTTGGATTTGATTTTTTATTTTTTTTTTTTAAATTATTGTTTGGTGTTTCTAAATATGCAATGTTTGTTGTAATCTATAATGATACTATACAAAATTCATATAAATTTCGCAACATTGGAGTTGTTTGGAAATTGTTATCGAAAAAATGTAATTTTTGGTCTTTTAATGTTTTTTTTCAGCGACAAAAATATATAGCATTGAATATACAAATGTGCAAATTGACAAGTCAACTGGCTTAATACAAGGCAAAGAACCTAGGAGAACCGCACAATACCGGCGACCTAGATCAAACTCACAAAAAAAGAGACAAAAAAGAGACAAAAAAGAAAAAAATAGACAAAGAAAGAGAAACACATTGGATTCGTGACTCGAAAATCTCTTTATAAGGGCAATACGACCACTGAGTCGCTTAGGCCAAAAGCAACCTAAACAAAGAGAAACACACAACAAAACCTCAACTTCACTATCACTTTCTCCGGCATCCACACTTTCTTAAACTTCCATAAATTACGTGATTTCCAAAGCCACCACAACATGTACGTAGTCAATTGGATTCGTGACTCGAAAATCTCTTTATAATTAATAGGGCAAATTCTGCCCCACCAGTCCCTAAAGCTTTTGATTGAATCCTGAAGCCCATCCCAACTCACTGGTGCCAGTTTTCAAATTATTACTCTCAGACACTTCAAAAAATAAGTGCTCTACAGATTCCAGTTCCTGTCCACAACAACACATACTATCCACTAACATTCTCCTTTCAGCCAAATTAACACAAACATGTAAGACATCATTGTAACATCTCCAGACAAAGTGTTTAATCTTACCTGTGATATTTAGCTGCCAGCTCCTCCTCCTCACTTTAGCCTGCCTCCTTAAATTTTTCCAACACCAAATGAAAATAAGCTTTGGCAACAGAAAATATCCCATTTTTCTCCCATTTCCAGATCCACATATTCTTCAAACTGGGTTAATGGTCTTAATATTCAATATTGCTTGATTGTCTTCCTCATTAAACAAGTCTCTCATCAATGCAGAGTTCCATTTCCTACCCCTTTCCCCCATGAGTTCCCAAACCTTTTGCACATTAGCCTCAACATCCTGTCTTCTATTTTGGAATACCAGCTTCAGATGATAAAAGCCAAGGACCCTACCATATCTTAATAGAAAGTCTATCTCTCACCTCAAATCTAAGGGTGTGTTTGGTTCAATGGAGGGGAAGGGAGGGGAAGAATTTTAATGGAAGGAAAGGGAGGGGAGGGGAGGTGATGTAAAATAACTTTACCTTATTTGGAAGGATTTTGTTGGAGGGAAAGGGAGGGAAAATGGTAAACCTTGTTTGGTAAGAAAATGAAAGGGGAGAGAAAATAATGTTAAAATGACAAATATATCCTTAATGAAATAAGATAAACAATAAAAAACAATTAAAAGTAGGGACTAAATGGTATTTTCACATCATCTTAAAACATTTCCCCTCCAAATCCCTCCAATTTTGGAAGGGAGGGAAAGTGAGGGAGGGAGGGAAATTTACTTAAATTTTTTCTCTCCCTCCCCTCCTAATTTTCCAACCAAACAAGAGAAAAATAAAATTCTCCATCCCCTCCCCTCCCCTCCCCTCCAAATCCCTCAAACCAAACACTACCTAAAATACTTCTGATAAGAATTTTTAATACTCACTCAAGTACTCCAAAGCTAAGAAGAACAGTCAGATCTTTTAGCTTCAAAGAAGAACTGTTAGATCTTTTAGATCTGACCTCAAACCCAACTGACTTACTACTCCCTATATTCTCTTGCCATATCTAAGCCAACCGCATTAATGAAATACTATAATGAGTTTTCTTATTCTTGTCGATAAAGGAAGCATGACTTATTTAAAGAACGATGAAATGATCAATATTAAAAAGATATCGCACACAAAAGGAGAAGATCGGAATCAAGTCGGGAGAAATTTGATGAAGATCCCGACCAAGATTAAGAAATTAACAGATTGGGGAATATTGTTCCCGTACGTTTGTTGAATGAAGATTTTAAAGATCTCTGATCAAAGAAGCAGATCCAATTTAGAAGGAAGTTGACTCCATAAGGAAGGACATTGAAAACATGGAATATGACGACGTCTTACCTACTTGAAAATTGTAGAAATGTCATCACAAAGGCTCAAAGACATGCTGCTGCAATTACGATTAGTAATTTAGCACTAAATATTTAGCACATAATTTATTGTTCAAGATAGTCTCTGAGAGTTCGTGAGAATTGTTTTATACTTTTATTGATTATATGCGCAACAGTTCAATTTTGTGTTCTTGCATTACTAAAGAGCTGAATCTGTTTATTCTCGTAGCTCTTGGGGTACTTAGATGTCAAGTAATTTATCAGCTTGGAGGGATTCAAAATATCTATTTAGTCCATGTTGTGGTCATGAAAGTAGTTAATAGTTTCAGGTAGTTGTGGTAGGTTTAGGAGGGGTTCTATACTTGTAATTCCAACTTTACATCGTGCGCGCGACCGACTAATAATAAAAAAAAGCTCTGAGTGTTAGTTTGATTCTCCTCGAAAACTATTTTGTTTAAATAATTGCTTCCGCTTTTATTTGTGTTCTTACACATTTGCTTTACTCTATATACTCCCTCACAAATTATCATCATCATCTATCATAAATTACACTTATTAAAGTACTCCATTTCTTCCCAAACCATAATTTTTAAGCATATCCAATAAACGTTTTTGCATGCATTTTTAAACACATTGCAATTAGACATTCAATACATCTCAAAATGTCACACATATGTTTAAATTGAACCCAATTTTTTTTTAAAAAAATCACATTACCCAAGTTGCCTTCAGATAGTTCAATAGTCAACCCAAAGTAAAACATTGCATAATATGACAAGGATGTTAATCTATAGAGAAGAGAAAAACTAGAAAACTTCAAATAAAATAGATAGCTTACTTGCAAGGATCCCATCACACACCACAAGTCACAACCCTAAAACAAACACATAACCCCATCTTTCCCTTCCATTCAACCCAACCTCTTGGCAACCCTAACCTTCAACCCATCCCTCATGTACAATATCACCGAACAATTCGGTGCGACTCGATGGCCTTCGACCACCGATACCCGATAGTTATAGATAACCGTGGCCGCCACACTCTTTATCTGGCTAAACGCCACTTCTTTCCCCAAACACGTCCTTGGACCGGCATTGAACGCTAGGAACTTGTACGATGGCTCGTGCTTGATCGTCCCCCTCTCGGTAATCCACCTCTCTGGCTTAAACTCCAAACAATCCTTCCCCCAAATCGACTCCATTCTCCCCATCGCATACAAGAAGAACATCACCTTCATCTTCGGGTGCACACAATGCCCGCTCGGTACAATGTCTGTCTCGCTCGGCACCTTATGTTGGAAAGGCACCGGCGGGTACAACCTCAACGCCTCGCAAATCGCCCCGTGCATGTAAACCAACTTACTCGTCTCCCCAACCATAAAAACTCTCGGTTTTGAATTTCCCTCGTTGCCGCGAATAACCGACTCCAATTCCTCTAGAATCTTCCTCTCCACCTCCGGGTGAGTCGAGACAAGCCAGACTAGCCACGTCAGCGCAGAACTCGTCGTGTCGCGACCCGCAATCATCAGATTCAGAACCGTATCCCTCAAGAACTCGTCCTCGTCTTCGCCATCACACAATCCCCCACTTATGTACAAACTTAGCAAGTCGTCGTCGTCGTCGTTCGATTCCTCAACATTTCCTCTCGATAAATTCCTCAAATCGTCTCGTTTTCTCACGACGTACCCTCTAATGACGTCGTCCAAAACCCTATGCGCGTTTCTCAACTTCCCCTCGGATCCGACCCGGGCCCACCTCATGAACTTCCAAACTTTCTCGGGAAGCACGTGCCGCGTGAAAATGGCTTCCTCAGCATCGTCCATGGCTCTCGAAAACGGGACGTCGGGCATTTCGACCGAAAGGCACCCGGGATCGTAACCCGTGACCAGAGCGCACGTCGTGTCGAACGTGAGCCTCTGGAAAACGTCCTGAAGGTCAAAGACTCGATTTTTTTCCGCGCGAACCATCGTCTCGAAAACAGGGATGAGGCCGGCCTCGAGTTTCTCGAGGTTCACAATGGACAGGCGCTCGGAAAATCCACGGTGGCCGATGAGGGCACGCGCGGCTTTGCGCTGAGACCTCCACGAATCGGAGTCCGAATTGAAAATCCCTCGGCCCAAAACGTCGAAGATTTCTCGGAATCGGGGGCCTTTTGGGAAATTCGAAAAGTTGGAGCTCATGATGTAGTGGACGTCGGCCGGGTTGACGGTGCAGAGTATCTCCATGTTCGAAAACCATGGACCTTTGAAAAGGAAAGTGCCACGTGGACTCTTTTTCAGAACCTCGGTGCAAATGTCGTGGATGTTTTGGACGGAAAGCAAGAGAGTCGGGAGCATGCCGATTAACGGCAGGTTTTTGTAAGAAAGATTTTTGAGATTCTTTGTCCTCCATGCCCAGATGGCTAAAAACCAGATTGCTGATAGGAAAATCTCTAAATAATAAGAAGCCATTTTTCTTTT